AGAAATTAATTCAAAATGAAAAACTACACACACTTCTTCAGGCAGAATGCAACTTATAAACTTTTAGATTATAAAGCTCTCAAAATATGAAAAGGATTCAGCTGTTTGCTAGTCAATAGACTATAATGTAATGCACCAGACTAAAAGGCCGTTAGAACTGCAAGGTCGGCCGTTCAAGCTCACCAGCAGCTCTTCGAAAACCCTATACAGGGTCGCTATGGATCAGAACCAACTCGATGGCACTTAACAACAACAACAACATATGACTAAGGAGCCCTGATGGTGCAGTGAGTTAAACATTAGGCTGCTAATCACAAGATGAGAAGTTCAAACCCACTAGCCGCTCTGTGGGAGAAAGATGAAGCTGTCTGCTCCTATAAAGACTGACAGTCTCAGCAACCCAAAGGAGTAGTTCTACTCTGTCCAAGGGTTGCTATGAGTTGGAATCAACTCAACGACAATGAATTTTGGGTTATTTTTTTAACACATGACTTGGTCAGAAAGGATAATAATAAAATCCACTTAATTTTGCATATGTACTATGTGCCAGGCACTTTGAAAAAAGTTTTCTATACATCTTATTAATGTTCATATCAAGTACATAAAGTAATGGAAATGATTTCCATTTTACAGATGAGAAACCTAAGGCCTAGGTGAGATTATGTGATGGGTGGGCTCAATCCAGGCTTCACAGTTTGAGAGTGGAAGAAGAGCAAGTGAATCCTAGCTCTGTCTGCTTCCAAGCTGCTGTACAAGCTGCTGTACAAAAATCACCAAGGTTATGCTCACAATAAAAACCAACACTTGAGTGGGGCTTCAGAATATGTAAAGGAAATGCAAAAATATGATTGCTAAACTTGAGCCTGCTGTGCCATCCTCAGCCACACAGCCTGCAGACCCGGAGGCTGAGGAGGGATATCTCATCCCCATGGCCCTTGGCAATCTGGAGCCAAGCTGACTTTCTCTGCGGAGGTGAGACATAGTATCACAATCACAAGAATCTTGTGGCCTAAATGTACCAACCAAAGAGGAGCAGCAGAAGCCCTCCTCCCCACAACAGATCCCACCAAATTTCAGAATGAAAGATAAGATGCTGTCTCCATTCCACTACTTCTTAAATATGCTGATTTCCTCACCAACACCATTCCAGTCAATAAAGTTGGTAAGAATGTGTGTTTCCTGTCCTATGGGAGGCAATAAAGCTGTTTTCAGATTGAACCAAAATACACATAGCCCATAAATATTCTATTTGTTATGAATTGACTCTTATGCAAAAATGATCATTTCAATTTCACTGCTATTGAAGACATTCAGATCACTATCCAGAAATTCCCAGCATTCCAGAAGCTCCCTCTTGTGCTCCAGTCACCACACCCCCAGAAGTGACTGCTATTCTGAATTCTGTCACATAGATGGGTATTTTCTACAGTTACCCTTTTAATACCGGGCCTGCACTCTTCAGTTCTCCACAGTCCCCAACACTCCCTAGTGTGTTACAACTGGCCCTTCCCTACAATTCTGTCTGCCTCCTGGCCCCTTTGGGCATTGGGGTTTGCAAGCTCTCCTAGACGGGCCTATGCCTAAAGTCTTGACATAAACGAGTATGAGTAAATGATATTGGACATGAAGGTAGGAGAATAATTACCTAGCAATAGCCCACTGAGTCTATGAGTAGTGATTCAGCACCAACTCAGCCAGTGTGGTGGGTACCGAGTACACAGGATGAATCAGATACGGCCCAGGCCCCGGAGGAGCTCACTTGTCCAATGAGGGGCTAGATCATGTGGTATTCTATGTTAGGACAAGAAGAGAAAATAGCAAAGTTTCCACCCCACAGCACCCACTCCCCCTGGAGGGGCTGACTCGTGAGCGAAGCGTCAGTACTATCCACATTAGAACTCACTTCTCTTCTCAAACAAACAAAAGCAAACACACTGCCACTGAATTGATTCCAACTCATAGAGACGCTTCCCTCTTAAGATGACCTGTCCATCAGAGTTCAATTTGTGAAGGACATTGCTCACTTACTAATGGACACATAAGGCTTGCCCTAATGCCAAAAAAAAAAACAAAAAAAAAACCCTCACATCAAGGCCCAAAATAAAACAAAAGAATTAAACAATGCACGCCCTAATTGAATTCAAAACCAATGACAGTGATTATTAAAAACCATCTTTATACTTCAAAACGTGGAAATCTTAGAGACCTCAGAATTCAAAGAACAGTAAGATTTTTTATTAATTACTTTTGAATTCATAGATTTTCAAATAGTTCTAAATCAATGTCATTGCTAATATACCTATGGTCATGCTAAGCTGTGTCGCTCCACAGTTCTTACTTTGCACCCTGGCTGAGTTGCCCATCTTCATGACAAACAGCCAGCTTAGGGGAAGCTAATTCGCTTTTTGCAGACCTGGAATGGCACACATGACCTTTCACCAATCGTTCAGACCCAACTTTCAGGTCAGCCTTGATGTCTTCATGGTCATTATTCCACCAAAAGACCAGGGAGATGACTTGCCACCATGCCTTGGCATTCATTGTTGTTCCTGCCTTGGGGCTAGGGGCTTCCAGTGGCCCAGCATGAGGGCAGCAGAAGTGGAACTCAGTCTGTATTCCCTCTTCTATGGACTGTCCCAAATTAACCTACGGAGCACCCTCGCATAAGTCCTGTGGCCCATGGAAACATTCTCAGTGGGCCATTTCACCTATATGGGGAGAGGGGAGGCAGGCCAGTGGACTGCAATTGTTTGGATGACTTTCCCTTGGGGACAGCATTTATGCAGCCCCAGGCCTCCTAGAGGGAACACATTCAGCTTCTGAAAACCCTGTACACCAGCCACTTACCACTAGCCTTTGTGCAGCACACAAAGGCATGTTTTCATTCCACCGCAAGTGGATCTGCTCCCTAAATCTGTTTAAAGCTTCTAGAAGCCCTGAGATCCTCATGAAATCAATGGGGAGCAGCCTGAGGAACCAGAGGTAGACACTGAACCCAACCTCAGTCTAGGGAGTTAAGCTCCAGTCCAGTTCTCATCCACCTTCCTGTTGGACACCAAAAGGCTAGGAAATGCTCATACCCTAGAAGGCAGGAGGTTGTTGAACTTTGCTGTGCACAAGGCTCACTCAGGGACCTTGTCTAGATTCCACTTAGCAGTCAGGGGTGGGGCTTGCCAGTCTGCAGTTCTAACAAGCTCCCAGGTGAAACTGATGCTGCCCATCCACAGACCACACGCTCCACGGGATCTTCACCTCCCAGAAGTACGTGTGTTTTAAAACAGGGCTTCAGAAAGGTGTCTTTTCAAATATTTACCTCAGAGAGCTAAATCTCAAATGGTAGGATTGCAGGTAAAATAGCTTTAGGCTAGGGGAGCTGTTTGGAAGGCAACCAGGACCATCTGACATGACAGCCCACAAATCAAGCCCTTTGGTAAACAGATGTGAGGAGTCCTGCTATATGGGGTCAGGAAGGTCAAAACAGATACAAGTGTAGGTAGCCTCTGCCCAGGCAAGGCCAGAATGGCAGCTCTGGGCCTTTCAATCCCTCACTGCTTCTTCCAATACCCCCCTCATTCACACCAGGTGCTCAAGTAGTACCACCTTCACAGTCCGTGGGGTACTCGTTCTCTTTGCCATCTTGCCTCCCCAGTCTTGGGGCAACAGTGCCAAGCAGTCCTATTTCCCAGCCCAGGTAACAGATGGTGCCCCCAACCCTCATAGGTGCTGTCCACAGTGCACCCACCCCGGTACCATGAACAACACATTAACGTCAAGCCAGGTCTCCCCAATCTTGGACTGACTCATCAGCCCTCACACCTACCCTAACCAGGCTCTTCAAGTCTCAAACCACCCTCCACCCCAGTGCAGCCTATTTATTTCGTATGCAAGGGTCTGACCCACCACACACACACTTCATTGCCTGTGTCTCCCCAGTTTATTTCAGAATCCAAATTGGAGTGGGGGATTTTACTGAAAGGCTGCAAGACCAAGACCGAAGGACAACGCAGTTAGAACAGGCAGACGCTGTTTTCTGAATTACTGAGGAACCACAACATGTTACCCAGGAAAGGCTAATTTTCCCGGACATTGGGCCATTAAGTCTGGACCGGGGCCTGGGTCGAAATGGGGTGGTGATCAGCGGCCAAGGGTACTGGATTTCCACACGCTGCAACTACTCCAGATGCCTGCTCCGAAACATAAGAGTGCCCTTTGCAGGCATTGCCGCCACCGTAGAACGCTAGGGCTCCACGCGCGGCGGTGGGAATGTCCTGAGCCAGGGGTACGAGGGCGGCGCTCCTGGGCGTGGGTCCAGGGGGGCAGCCAGCACTGCCTGTGGCGGGCCAGCCCTGGGGCGGGGAGGTGAGGCGTTGAGCCTTACAAGGCTCCAGTCTTCTCGAAGAACGCGTCTTCCAACAGCCGGACAGGGTTGGGGAGGCTGCAAGAGTCATCTGGGGTCTCCCACTGGCACTGGGAGGCGATCAGCGGCGGGGAGAGCTACGTGACTTCAGCTTCCTCAAAAGCCGCTGCCCACCCGCGTAGGGAGGTACGCTCCAGCTTACCCCCCTGTTCAATGAGGACCCAGTGAGATGGGGACGAGACTGAACCTTTACGCCCTCTTTACCCCCGAAATTCTCCCCACCCCAAACCCGTATCTTCCCGGTGGCGCGGAGAGAAACGCGCCTGAATGTTCGTGGTGCCAGGAACCGGATAGAGGGTGTGCCTGTTCTCCCAGGCCATCGCGGAGGGAATTCGAGTTACTGGGAATCAAAGTTGCCGCGCGTTCAGCCGCAGGCTGGAAGAGGGGTGCAGGGGCCAGCACGCGGGTCCAGGACCAAGGAGGCACCGGGCGCTTGCCGCGGGATATAGCTGCGTCGGGAACAAGTGTTTCGGAAGCTGCGGCCGCGACGCCACGGCTCCAACTTTCCTGCAGCGCGAGGAGCGAACGGCGCGGGGAAGGCGAGGGAACCGGGAGGGAAGGGACCGCGCGCGGCTCAAGGTACCGTGTGCGTGTGCTGAGCGGCGCCGTGCCGCGTCTCGGGCTCCGCTCTCCGCCGGATCGACACGCGCGGGCCGTCTGCTCGGGCTCTGGCCGCCGCCGAGTCTTGCCGCCGGTGCGAAGGCTCATTCGCAGCGCGCCGGCCGTTCCGAGGTCCCCTCGGGCCGCCTGCTCGCCGCTCGCCGGACTCAACTTGAGTTCAGGCTCGCCGCGGACTCGGACTATGCGCGCCCCGCACGTCCCGCGGTTCTGTACCCTCGCGCTCCATGCCCAGGGCCGGGCCGTCCCGCCCCGCCCGGCTCAGCGCCCGACCGCCGTCGGACGCGTCCCCTCTCCTAGCATCGCGCCCCGCTCTCCCGAGCCGCCGCCGCCGCCGCCGCAGCTCAAGTCCGCTATCAACTTTCCCTCGCTCCCTCCCTCCGCCCCGCTCAGCCCCCACCGCCCAGACCCCGCCTCCCGACGCTCCCGCCCTCACCTCCCGCCGCGCCCAGGCCCCGCCCGCCCTGCCGGCCGCGCCTGGCTGCTCCGCTTGGGGTGGGCACCCGGACCTCTGGAGCCCCCTAGAACCCCGCACTCCCAGCCCCGCCCGGACCCCCGGGAGCTGCACTGAGCCCGACCAGGCACTCAGGGCACGACTATTTCAATGCTAGCGAAGCTGCCCTCTGCCGATGTCATGGCACCGGCTGCTGTGGCAACTCGACGAATCCCCCAAAGGGGCTAGGTGCAAGTCTTCGGAAGCGGCGTCAGGTGCTTGCGGGAGCCCTGCCCTCAGGGCCTCCTGCCGTCCCGCCGAGGGGCACGCAGAGGAATGGGGACCCCGCCGGCCTCCCCCGGCTCTGATCCTCCCGCCAAGCAGAGAAATGCTCCGGGGAAGCCGGAGCGAGCGAGCCAGCGGGCGCTCGGCCTAGGTGAGCCCGCGCCATCTGTTGGCTTTAAGCGCCCCCTCTCTGCTCCCAGAGTCGCTGAGCGCCGCGCCGGACTCAATCCCATTAGTCCTTGGCCACTTGGCTGGTGCTTCATTCCAACCAGCGGCCTTGGCTCATGTGCTCTCACCTGCTTGCCTCCTTCAATCGAGAGACCAAGATACCCCAGCGCTTTCAGATGAAGGACATTGTATTGGAAGAATCCCCTTGAGGTTACATAGTCACCTTCAGCCATGCAGGAGACCCTTTCTGCAGCACTCCTGAGTGATCGTTTCCCCGCCTTTTTTTACACACCCATCCCCACTGCGGCTGAGTCGATGCAGTAACCCTGTAGGACCGAGAACTCCATAGAGTTTCTGAGACTTTCTCTCATTTTCTCCCGCGGAGCAGCTGGTGGATTAGAACAGCCGACCGTTCACTTAACAACGCAACACTTAACCCACTGTGCCACCAACGAGGGCTCTTTTTTACACATATATGTTGTTACGTGTCATTGAGTCGGTTTCGACTCATAGTGACCCTATTTATGGTTTCTGAAGAGCCTCTGTTTAGTTTGAACTTGTGGTTAACAGTCCAGTGCTTTAGAACGCCACACCATGACTCCAATGTTGTTGAGTTGTTGTTGAGTACTAACTAATAGTGACCCTGTATAGGATTCTGTGGAGCGGTAGAAGGAATTGAATGGCCGACCTTGAGGTTAGCAGTTCACTGATTGTCTTAGAGCATCACAGCAAGATTTCAATTGGAACAGGGAAGCTCATGACTTTTGAGAAGGCTGGTTCCTTTCTGCCATGACTTAATTGTTACAAAGTCCTGCACCCTTTAACTTCATTGTTCTAGCCTTTGAAGGAGTTCCTATTTAATAGGCCTGGCTCTTCAGGTAGTTGAAGAGGGTCATTCCCTGACCTTGATCTTTTCTTTCCCAGGCTAAGCATTCTGAATTCATTTAATTATTCCTCCTGTGGCTGAATTTGTGGATCTGCATATTGGCAATAGCTTCCTTTCCTTCCTCAGCACACAGCCTTTCTGGTAGGTCCTGTCATTATCCCTGTTTTACAGCGGAGAAAACATACTTCAGAGTGGTAAACAGTGAACCAGATACCGAGCCCAGAATATGCTGATTCCACAGCTCCCAGTTTTTTAAACCATTCATTCATAGTTGCTATTATGGGGAGTCTTGGGATGGCTCTGTAGGACAAGTATTAGACGACTAACTGCAGGGTCAGCGGTTCAAGCGCATTAGTCACTCTGTAGGAGAAAGATGAGGACTTCTGCTCCCACAAATATTTACAGCCTCAGAAATCCTATACAGAGTCCCTTAACAACAGCTAGGGAATCAGGGCAGGCAGGCTTCCTGGAGGAAGTAACACTGAATTGAAATCTGAAGGATGGGCAATGGAAAGGGGATGGAGTTTTAGGCAGGCAAAATAGAATATACTAAGGATCCCTGATGTGGAGCTGCAAGATATGCACTGGACTGCTAACCATAAGGTTGGCGGTTCAAACCTATCAGCTGCTCCTTAGAAACCCTATGCAGGGTTGCTATGAGTTGGAACCGATTCAATGGCACTTAACTATAATAAGAAGGAGCTAGCATATGTGGAGACTTGAAACAAGGCCAGAGACTGGAGCACCCGGAGGGGAAGGAGCATGGGAAAGCTGGAGTTAGACCAGGGCCCACATTGTGCAGGGCCTTGCTGGCCTTGATAGGGTTTGATCTTTATCTGAAGCGAGTGGCTTCAAAGAAAGAAGTTGGTGAGTTGGCTATGGGGTAGGAATGACATGACTGATAGGTAGTAGAAAAATGGGGAGCAGTTGGGGGGCAATAGAGGATAAGAGACCATTTCCATTTTTAAAAAATGCATGTCTACTTGTTGTTTGTTGTTAAGTGCTGTCGAGTCGGTTCCGACTCATTATGACCCTATATTGGGTTTCTGAGGAGCGGCTGGTGAGTTTGAACCATCTACTTTGCGGTTCAAACTGACCTTTCAGCCCAGTGCTTATCCTACAGCACCACACCAGGACTTTTTCCAGAAACTCTTCGAAAGCAGAGGCCAGCAAACTGCTCCACGGGCCAGAGCCATCCTGCCACTTGTTTTTGTAAATACAATTTTATTGGAATACTGATTCATTCAACCAGCAGCCAGTTAAGTTTTAGCTATGGCTGCTTTCATACTAAGATGCTCTGAGTGGTTGCAACAGAGACCAGATGACCTGAAAACCCTAAAATATTTACTCTCTGGCCATTTACAGAAAAAAATTTGCTGACCCCTGTGATTCTAGACATTTAGGATACATTAGTGAACAAAATACACACACATCATGTCCTGTTAGAGCTCACATTCCAGTGGACTATTGTCGTTGCCAGGTGGTTGGTGATGGAGGTCTGGCCTGGCCTGGCCTGGGGTAATTCTGCAGGTAAAAATCCTACAGGACTAGGAGATACAGATAAAGGTAGACATCCAGGTCATGGAATGGATAAACAGAATGCTGCTCCCTACTGGGAAATGACCAAGTGTTCAGTGAGGACCTCTTACGTGTGAGATGTCAAATGGGCAATGGGACAAATTAGTCTGGGACTTGAGGGGAAAGGGCCAGACTGGAGAGCTCTGATCTTACGTCTCTCAGATACTCCTGGTCACAGACAGAGTGATAGTTCAGGAGTCAGGAGATCTGGTTCTAGACCAGATCCCATCACTTTCTAGATGGATGGTCTTGGGACTGCACACTGAACGTCTTGTGGTCGTGTGTTCCTCATTCATAAAACAGTATCACTAGAAGGTCTTGCCAACATGAAACCTACTTTCTGGTTTGTCACTATCTCTTTTAAGCTGTAGCTCCCCAAACTGTCCACTACCACTTGACACCTAAGCTCTGAGTGATACCCTTACCTCCCCTGATGTGGACACCATACTTCTGTTCACAGGACCTCTTGGCAGTCACTTTTATTCCACAGGCGTTTGTGCCAGACACTTTGCTAGAGATTGCAATGTCAGCCAGGGTACAATTATCTGCAGAACCATTCCGATTTGTAACTGAGAGGGAATTCAGTGCGATGCAAGTGTTGGACACATAGCTCTGGAAGAGCTGAGAATTCAAACAGGGTAGTGGGGTTACCCAGAATTCCACAACAGCAGGAAGTTGCTACCACCTCTAGGCTAGAGGGAGAGAGTGAAGAAGCAAAGATACCCAGTGGAAGATGGAACTACGATGGACCAGTCTGGTGGGAGCCCAAGAAGTTCTTCTTACTAACTGGGGTCTCCATCCCTCAAACCATTTCAAGGCTGTCCCACCATCTGTTCTCAGGGTTCTCCCTAACTCCTCTCTTTACTCACCTCCTTCCCCCCACCCCAAACCGCCAGAGCACTGAGGAACTTGGACCAGTGTGATAGAGGCACCACTTGAGTCACTGAGATAATGGTGCCTGCCCAGACTTGCTCCTGGGGTGGCCTGTGAAAGTGCTTTGACAATCATAAAGAACCTTAGAGGGGTTAACACACAGTACCCTTAATCACCTTCAGGGACAAACTTCATCCAAACCCCTCTCTTACTAGGTGCATGCCCCACTGGATGGAGACAGGGAAAGGACCAGGCCTGCTCTAATTGTTGAAGCTGAAGGGAAAGGTCCTCCCTTCTCCCACCTTTCCACCCCACTCACAGATCACAAGCGCATGACCCAAGCTAAACGCTTAGAAGTTCCACAATGTCTGGAAATGGTTTAGAATACTCTAGAAACAATGCAAAGCACTAAATTCTGACCAGATGGCTCCTGAGTCCTGACCTGAGCTACATTTTCAGCCACATCTTTGACAGTGGACACCTACCAGATTGATTTTCAAGCCTCCCCACCACCCCAATGTAACCAGGAAATTAACTTTTTCTATCATAGTTAATTTCTGCTGCTGGCAACCGTGAGAATTCAGCCTGGTATGGACTATAGGGTGATTCTTCTGGTGATCACAACAAAACGTAGAATCAGCATTGCCAGAGTAACTGCCTTCCCTTTTCCAAAAAAATGGAAGAAACAATTAATACATCTATTCCTACATATTCAGAACATCTTACTCAGGTATTTTCAAAAGTGGCCACATTTCTGTAGTGGGTTCAACTTCATCTGTAGTCCAGAGACACATTTGACTTCAAGATCTTCAAAGGCAAGGACTGTATCTTTAGTTTGTTCAGTCATCTAACAAGCATTTCTGAGGGCTCCAGGCTGGGTGCTAAGGATAGAGGAGCCAAAGGCACCATTTAGATCCTCAGGGAAGCCAGTTGAAGTAGAAAGCAAGAAGCCAGAAGTAGAAAGCAGTGAGACGATGCTGGGACCAGGTTCAGCAGTGAACAGGCCAATGCACCCTGACTAAGAAGGTTGGCAAAGATGTCAAAAAGGAGCAGCCACTTAATCAAGGCTTTTAACAGATGACCAGGAAGGGTATCTGAGGTGGAAGGGACTG